AATAGAATGATTAAGTAGTATTTACTCCTTTTCAAAATACCTAATTTTTTACCTTTTTTCCATTAGTGCATAAAGTATCAAGGAATAAGGTACAAACATGGTTAAAAATAACAATAGATTTTAAATACAAGTCTTTGATATAGTGTAAAGAAGTAACAAGAAGTAACGAAAGGAGTAAAATTTACTCGATCTTTCCATTCTAGGGTTAAATAATTAAATGTGTCGAATAAGCTTCGAAAGATTGAACATGATGATATAAATCTTGCTGTTTTATTTAAAATAGTTCGATACTCGATACCTCTGTCATTTAACGATATCGATAGTAATACAGAACAAATATATAGGCACGGTATTATTATTTAATTTCCTGATTATTAAAACCAAGCAACGTGAAATGTAATGGCAAGTGGTAGCAAGCTAATTATTATACAAGAAGATTGTAATGAAGTTCGCGCTCAATTGTTTGTTTAATACCATTCTACAGTCCCTTTTAACCGTGACAGAGTCGAAACGGTGACTCATTTCGACAGATTAAATCTGCGGACGACAAGAGCCAGCCAGTATTATTTGTGGTACCATTGTCGGTCGCGGAGCCACGCATCGACTCTTTCTTCTGGATGACCCGAAAGGAATCCATTCTTCGACGCTAACGCATATCTATCGGATCAATGGGGACTTGGGTAAATGTTAACGTCGCGAGGTTCGTCTCGTAAACATTATCATGTCGTGCACCGTGTATCGAGGATTTGATCATTCCTGAGCATATTGACAAATACATTGTAAATTAAATCAATCGGTACACATTACAGAATTAAACAAACTTAAACTTAGATACATTGTAGTATTACACAAAACTTAAACTTAGATACAATTACTATATAAGCACGGTATATATGAAGCAATTTGTTAATTAAATTTTATTTTTTGAATTCAGAGCTGAGTCGTACTTATAACAAAAATATTTTAAGCATTGTTTTAGATGATATAGGCTGTACAGCTTAGATGAAATATTTATAATGATTTAATTTACCTAAGATAATAATGAATAAACGTCACCAATAAATTACTAAACATTTTGACCATCTCTGTGAAATATTAGAGTCGTCACACAGCCTGTCTTTATCTATCCTTCTCCCCATTCCTTGGCTTCACCACTTCCAGAAGCTGCTGGAATTCTTTCCTTAGGTACGTCACGTATGTAGCACGGACGAGTGCCATGATCCACTATCGCGATTTAGAAGAATTTCTGCTCTTTTCCTCTAACCGAACGACATTTGAAACCTCTTTCAATTTCGAACAAAATATTCTCGAAATTCATATTTTTTTTTTTTTTAAGTGGAAATCCTACAGCACAGGACAATCCTGAGATTGAATTATACAACTTTACTTAATTATTCATCTTCGATTAATTTGTACACACTGAATGCACTATTTTTATATAATGCTATATATTGGGTTGTCCAGAACGTTCGTGGCAAATTTTAAGAAAATTTCAAAGGCATATTTGAATTGAAGGCACATCTACCAAAAATCGACATGGACTTTCCAGACAATACAATAATAAATACTGGAATTTTTTATTTTCTCCACTTGATGTCTTCATCGCTACCAATTTTTTCTGTTTCATAATTACTATTCCTTCGATCAGGATCAAATTTTATTTACGATACATTATTCACAATATAAAAGAAGATTCTCGTACAACGAAATTTCCCATAGCTCGATTTTATGCGAAATTCTACTGCGCGTAGTCTATTGCCTCGAAGAGAATCCTAGATTCCGAGTGATGAACGATCCCGATGCTGGGCGCGTCGAAAAACAAAGATCAATTAATTAACACGCCGAGATTATGGACAGGCGAATTCAGAACGGGTTGTTATGAAACGACAGCGATCTGTGGCACGTTAGCTCCAACCTCAATGGCGGTTACAGGTTACCTAGGGCTTCCTGCGGAAATGGCCAATATACTCCTCCGACCTCCAACTCACTCAGTCACTCGCTCACTCGGATCACTCCTGTTTGGTGTACCCCGTACCCATATGATCGCCCTGTCGCTCGACACGCACTCGTTACGGGTCATCATCGTGATCTATGCGCCTACAACAAACGTTACATCCTTAATCTGTCCTAGCCCGGCTAATTCTACGCTCGTGCTGAACGAGAAAGTTGACATTATTCCGCAGCTGGACCGAGAAACGGGCCTAACACCGCGACGCGATTAGAGCGAGTTTAGTTCGACGAGGTGTAAACACTCGGTGATTTCGAAGACCAAGTCGATAAACGCGGGATACCGACTTACAGGTAAAGGATTCTCCCCCTTCAGAATTTTAACGAAACACGAAGGATATTTTGTGGAATTATTAATTTTTTGCGGATTAATTTCTTGGTAAATTAAAAAGGCGATTGAATTGAGTATCCTTGGATTTTCTCTAACACTGCTGACCACCATTGACCATCACTGAACCACATTAAATACTTGTTAACATTCTTTAATATTATAGAATGTTTAATACTCATATTGCTTAATACATACTATAAAATCTTTCAAGTCCTGTGGTCCATATTTATCGAATGATCTGTTACCTCAAACATCGCCTCTTATCAAATTTCATTTGTGCGACACGCCGATTGATAAAATTAAAGCAAGGAGGAAATAGAGTGATCTGGGAGCAGCGATCATTACTTTGTTACGGATAGGCCAGATTAATGGACAAATTAATTAGGAAAACGACGTTTCCCAACGAGTACCAAACACGACCTAATTCACACGTGCTCGCGGTTCGTCGTTTGTTTTGCATACAACGTAATCGTCGCACAAAAGGAGAATCTTTACTGTAAGACGTCTAGACGGATAGTCCAGGTCTTACCCTTCTTTACACGATACAGTAACAATTCGGCTCTATTAGGCCAATAAAGTGTATCAAAGAGGAGGAATGCGCCCCGCGTCAATCGTAAATGTGATGTCGGTTTGTCCGTCAGTACACTGCTTGGACATGCGGGGTGCGGGTGGATAGCTGAATTATATTGAGCACGACCATAAGTTGGCAAAGAGGGAACGAAAAAACGTTTATGAAATGAAAAAAAAATCTGAGATGTTAGGGGAAAAAGGAAAACGATCTCGCATCTAATGAAACGTTTATTTTGTCAAAAAACGTGAACCTACGTACAAGCATACGTTTAACATGTTGAATAAACATTAGTTTACTTGATTCTAATAAGTATTATAAGCATTAAAAGAATATTTTATTTAATGAAAAGGTATATATAAATTGTACTTTTTGAAACACAATTAAAATAGTAATAATGTACTTCTAAGCTCGTTCTACAATAAAAATACAGGAAGTAACTTAAGTGAAATATCCTTTAAACAATTGTGTATTCACAAATGCATGTAATATTTTAAATTACTATGTTATACAGGGTGTCCCAAAAGTCGGGGAGGAGCCGGAAATGGGGGGTAGCTGAGACGATTCTGAACAACAATTTTCTTTGCAAAAATGTCGGATGGGGCTTCGTTAAGGAGATATTAAGAGAAAACCCCGACCAATCAGAGCGCGCGTAGACCGTTGGAGCGGCCGCGGTAGCGAAGGCTACACGCTAGGTCGATGCTTCGATGCACGTCGATTCACTTGTTCGCGTGCAAGCGCGGCCACCAGCGCGTAGCCTACGCTACCGCGACCGCTCCAACGGTCTACGCGCGCTCTGATTGGTCGGGGTTTTCGCTTAATATCTCCTTAACGAAGCCCCATCCGACATTTTTGCAAAGGAAATTGTTGTTCAGAATCGTCTCAGCTACCCCCCATTTCCGGCTCCTCCCCGAGATTTGGGACACCCTGTATAATTTAAATTACATATAAAACGGGTTCAAATCTTCAAATGGTGTCTGTCGATCGACTTGCCATCTAGCGGTGAAGGAGTCGAACTAAAATTTCGACCTCTAGTCAGCGCCTCTATCGGGAAAACGCCCAAGTTTGTTCTCGAATAGTTTCTTTTTTCATCGCTAGATGGCGCCATTTATATTGTTTTTATGGGGAAGGTTTACCCATATTATATTTTAATGTAGACTAAATAGAAGTTTTGATTGAATAACAATTTCTGGTATTTATTTTAAACGATGTCTCTTGCTTAATGGATTGACAGAAGGTGTGTTTTAAATATTTGAAAGGCAAACAAAATAAAATTATGTTTCACAAAAGACAATCAAATGAATAACATCGAGTATCATCGAGTTAACAGTTAGTTCTTCTTTATCGACGGTCTTCATAAATCTTCTTATCGACGATGATGAGTGTGTCCACCACATTTTTTAAACGATGGTAATGTACCGATATGTGTCGGTAAAAAACAACCTCCAAAGCGCCATCTAGCGATGAAAACAGAAACTATTCGAGGATAAACTTGGGGGTTTTCCCGATAGAGGCGCTGACCAAAGGTCGAAATTTTAGTTCGACCTAATTACCGCTAGATGACGAATTGCTGTTCCGTGGAAGCGCGCGTAATTTGAATTAGTTATGCAAACATTAAGAGTAATTTCTTCTGATATGTTTTTATGTATACCCTTTACTATCTTTTCTTTAAAAATGCCTCTAGAAAAGTTAAACCAAAATAAAAAGTTATCTTACCCTGTAAATATTATAATATGAATTTTACTTTCCATACTTTTTTACTAGAAATATATAATTTCGAACAGAATCAATAAATGTGTCTTTGTACGAATTTAATTTACAGCTCATGGAAATCTAAGATTATACACATAGTAAAAACATACATTATAAAAGATTCGAACATGTTTTTATACACGTGGACCTTTCTTCTGTACCAAAGGTTTTAAAATAAAAAATAACAAAGTATTTGATTAAACCTGGAAACCGCTGAAACTGAAACTTTTATGGAAGTTCGGCGCTGAGTATAACATACATATATTTCTATTTACGTTTTACAAAACCATATTTAAATTTTGTTTCTAAACATAATTCTGGTTTGAAGTAAATTAAAAAAATCTGACGTTTATTCAAACGATCATGGAAACTGGACGTTTGTCATGAGAATTCGTGTGAGTAATTCAAGATGGAAGACGGTGACAATAAAGCGAACGTTGGGTTGGATAAAGAGAAAAAGTCGTACGCCGGAATACCGGAGGCGGATTTTGTAGTAAGTACATTATTACAATGAAAAATTTATCTAACGTACTATTATAAATTCGTTTTTTGTGCTCGAATTCTACGTGTTTATTTTATATTTTGTTACGATGCGTGTTTTTACGAAGAAGTAATCCTCATGGCTTCTAATAAAAATTTCTATAAAAAAAAGATTCGTTGTTTGCTTCTTCGATTATTTCTGTATTTTACAAGGAGAACCAATTTCATTTTATCGGTAACATATTAAAACATGTCAAATGTACTTTCCGCGATGCGAACCTTATATGGTCACAAAATAAAGGGATATCATGATATTTGAATTAATTATAAAGAAAACAAATTGATATTTTATGAAAATGTTTTGAATACAGGACGATGTTGACGCATTTATGGCAAAACCCGAAAATGAATCTGCAGACAAGGTACTTCAAATGCTGGATGAAAACCATGGCAAATATAAATTCATGGAATATAACTTGGTCAACAAAAGGAGACGGCTGAAGGCACAGATTCCTGATTTGGAAAGATCATTGGAAATGATTAAAAAATTACAGTTAGAAAAAGACAACAGCAAAGATCTAGAAACTCAATTCCTTTTGTCGGAACAAGTTTTCGCGAAAGCTGTTATTCCACCCACCGACAAAGTATGCTTATGGTTAGGAGCAAATGTTATGCTAGAATATACTTTAGATGACGCACAAGAAATGTTAACAAAAAATATTGAAGCAGCAAAGAGAAATTTAGGCTATGTTGAGCATGATTTAGACTTTGTTAGAGATCAGTTTACAACAACAGAAGTAAATATGGCGCGCATTTATAATTGGGAGGTTAAACGCAGGCAGGCTGCCTGCACGAAAATAATGCCTAAGCACTAAGTGGTAATTATTTTGTAAACATAAAATTCATAAATTCTTGTGATCTGCGGGGTTCGTTTCGTAACCTCTAAATGTTTTATATATTTAATGTGTTTATTTTAGGTTACTCACACTGTCAAGAAAAAAGTCTGTGAACAAAAAGTGCTGTCAGAAAATGATGGAAAATAAAGGACTCAAACATCTTTAGGTTGTAGGCTAGATAACCAATATTTATGTATATTACCACAAACACATCTGAATTCTAACTTAACATATGTTTCATCTACTTACAATATCTTTTACTATATCTATCATAAGCTTAACTTGTCTAATAAGTTCCGTTGTCTCTGCAGAAAAAGTACACGTACTTTGTATAAAAATAAAATAATACATTTGGTGCATTATAAAAGTCATTACACAAAACAAAACTTTATTTGAGCTTTAGAATCTAGTTACCATATCCTGCCTTTAAGCTTTTGATTACATTCTATATCACATGGTTTTAGTTATACTTGATTTTGTTAGAACAAATTATAAATAGTATAACCTATACTTTTTGTGAACATGATGACAAAATAGACTTACGATTAATGAAAACTGCAAAATGAAATTTAACTTAGTTTAGATCCTAAACTGTTAGTCGTTCACTATATTTATCGTAAGGCACATGGTCACTTTGACTTTTCGTGAGTCATTGTTTAGCAGGGACTAGTATTGAATTATAATATAAAACTTGTTTAATTATCTGCATCTCCGTTTGCTTCGTACTTTACTAATTTTGCCTTTAACTCAATAATCTTAGCTTTAGACTCGTCCAATTCTTTTTTTATTGCTTCCATTTCGATATCAGCTTCTGTGATACCTCCAAGGTTTTGACGAATGTATCTATGATACAATTAAAGAAAGATTTTCTATGTAAGACAGATTATCAGTAAATAGTATTTTAATGAAAGGATACTCTAAGGCATCATCCGGCTTCTCTGGCTCTTCGTACAAAGATACAAGTACCTTTGTTAGAGCATCCAAAACACCCGCTCTTTCAAGATATTTTCGAAATTCTTCCCTTTTAGAATCAGGAGGCTGAAAATTAGTAATAGTAATGAAGCACAAATATTAATTGTATATCAAATATTTCATTTTTAATAATAGCTGCATCATATTAAAGGAAACATGATGTACCAGTCATTCTTTTGTTACTTTACGAATCTCTGAAATTATTACGATTATTTGATTTGTTAATTTGAAACTTTTGAGTAAAATAAGTATTTACCTTCATATTCGACATTTTTCTTATAGGATTGCAGTTGCACTACTATTTTACCACAATATTTCGAATGTTTTACTTCAACGAATAGTTCGATCAAATTTTTGGTAGCACGTGTTTCATGGGTTACGCGATAGTATAAACAAGTAAGTAGTGACGAGGTCGAAACAGAACAAAAGCCACATCACATATGTGACTTTCAAAAGAATGGATATTCAAATCGATTCATTATTGAGAGAGAAAATTATTTACCATTATGCGATGTAAATATGGTGTGTATTGACAGAGAAAAGTATTTTCTTTCTTTCACCTCGTTTCGCCGGTTGTCCTTGTATAGACTGTTTACTAGTCGATAGTAAACTTCGGATGTCACGACAATACTTTATTTCGATTAACACAGCGCTGTCAGCTAAGAATCCCGCCTCGATGAAGAGCTGATAGCATTCTGAAATTATTCGTGACGAAATAAAATTACTATTATAATAAAATAGAATATTCTGTGATATAGAGTTGAAAATAATGTACAAAATTAATACAAATTTCAAATTAGTAAAAAATTCGTACCGAAAAGTATTCAACTTGTGTATGTATGAATACTGGCTGATAACCACTGGTGTTGTATGTGAAAATAAAGAACTGGTTGATATTCATTGAAATTGCATTGGATGGGCTCATCGCTTACATTTAAGTACGTCTAATCAAAGAATATTATAATCGATAATAATGGGTAGACACGTGGATCTTTTTATTTTTTTCAGCATTTACATAGAATAAGCATTCTTGTAGTAGACGTATATAACTTACGATATAATTTTCGTGTATGTACAGTGTTATGGTTCCTCTTTAGTTTAACCACAGAGTAATTTTACAGAGATGAAACTCTTGTTATTCAAAAATGTTTAAATTAATGTCGACTACAAGTAAATTAATATCTCCCTATGGCTCCTCTACCTAAGGTGTATCTCCATGAGGTAATCTACAATCTTATGAATCTTCCTAAGTAAACCTAAATTCATATGTAGGTTTAAATCGAGATTTAAAAAATGTTGGAGTTCCGCCTTTATAAGAGCTCTGTATAGTTTAGGTTACACTGATTAACATTTTAACTGGAACAGACTGTCACAGAATCATTGGAGAGACAAAGATTTATCTATCCTTGTCCTGGAGGTTCCTACTTTTCCCGCAACTATCGCTGAAGTCAACTCGGAGTCTTTGTTGATAAAATCATTCGTAGTTGACAGTAGAAAGAAATTGATAAAAAAAATAGGTACAGATAAGTGTTAAAACGTCTACTGTAATGGTTTTTGTAAAAAGAGATATTGTCTCGAGCGTGATATTAACTTGTGGTATTGGCATTTGCTCGTTCATTGGTGATCAAGGTTTGAATTATGGAAAGACCCCCTGGTTACGCGCGATTTTTGACAATGTTACTCACGCAATTGTTGGGGGACTTACTTGGACACTTATTTTACATTTGTCAAGAAAGTCTCTCGTTCAAAACTTTTCCAGTATTTTCTGGTGCTTTTTCTTATCATCTTTTATTGACGTAGACCACTTTATCACAGCATGTAGTTGGAAGTTAAACGTAAGTGATATTATAACCTCTCCTTGTTTTCATGATTAAACTTTGTAAACCACTTTGATAAACATGAGTCATCTAAGTGCATTCCAGTTTTAATAATTAATGTCACTTGATTACAGTGTTTTATCCTATAATCTTTAGCATGTAAGTATTTGTAAAATTATTAGAATATGACATAACACTGAAATTTTTTTATAGGATGCAACGCATTTAACAAAACGACCATTTTTGCATTGCACTACTTTGCCAATTGCATTGTGGCTTATGCTTAATTTTTATGCGAGTGTATTTAATCATCCAAGGCTTAGTTATTATTCCTGGATAATGTTATCTAGTTTTCTAAGTCATCATATACGAGATGGCACAAGGAGGGGTCTATGGTTTTGCCCGATAGGTTCCACGCAACCCATACCTTATTATTTATATTTGAGCTTGAGTATGATACTTCCTCATGTGTTGCAATGGCTCATGACATCATCAATGCATGAACCTAAAGGTCAGGAAAACATGCCATTCATCGATATTGTAACAGTATAAAAATATTTATCGAATATAAGTGTGTACATATGTACATATTTGGAGATTTAAAAAAATTATTTTCACATGTATTTTATTAATATGGACTAGAATGTAAGACAAATTTTCTAGGACTTTTACACTTTTATAACTAAATTTATATATTTATTGTTATTAATTTTACTGTAAAATTTAAGACAAAATTTATTATATACAGAAAAATCATATTTTTGTAATAGTTTAGGTTACAATAAAACCTGCGAATATATAACGATACGTTTATTTCACAATTACACCTGTAATTACACCTGTGTCGCAATTACACCTGTGCAAAACAAACATTAACTTTGAAATTCGCGTATGGAAAGACTAATTGAAACGTTGCTTCTCTTTCTAATGTTGTTTCTTATTTTTTCCCGGAATCAATTTATCGAGAATTCATAAAAATGATCGTCGATTTCACCGATCATGGTTCGTCGTTACCAAATAAAATAATTTCCAAGCAAATTCTCAACATGGAAAGACGAGCAAAATGACTTCTAGTCACTGTCCTGTAATTACTATCTCCATACATGGAAGACTTGTGTAATCGAAAAGGGCTTGAGACCACAATGTTTACACAGTTTTTTCCAGAGACAGGTGTGCTCGGTAGACAAGAGCGTCACTCGCGTCTGCCACGTTCTTCAATGTCTGCGCGTCTACGCGGCGATGTTTACGCGATTCTGATACAAGAATTTAACAATACCCACGTAAACGCGTAACCGTGTCGCATATTGACTTCATCGGTGAGCGCGGAGGACGCGGATACCCTTGCAAGAAGTTAGCCTGCGCGCACGCACGTGTATACGTACGTATACACCTGACACAGCCTGGAGGGGTTTATCAGCATTCAGCATTGCTTTGCTGGCACTGTTACACACTTAACTTCACTCTCGTCTCTCAGTCTCACTCAGTGATCATATACCAAACCATCTATTCCGTTCGAAAGCATCGAAAGCGTTCGAGGAGTCCCTCGATCGGATGAAGAGGATTCATCCCACGACCGGAAGTTGCGAGCGTGTTATCCTCCTAGATCCTTCGTGTTTCCGCCACGATATTTAATTCTTGCACGCGGAATACTTTTCTCTTGCCAACTCCTCGACTTGGGTGATCGATTGTTAATCAGAATGTACGCCAATACTTGATATTCGACGCGGATGATTAATTGTGTACCAGTATCTGTGCCTCGCGCCATCATCAGTGAACCATAGTTCCATCAATGTGATACTCAGAAGACACGTAGCACAGTGTTGTTTCGTGTGTTCGAAAAAAAAGTTTCTGCACAGTCATAGAACGAGTTCGCTGAATACGAGCTCTACAATGCCACCAGATTTTCACAGATATCGAGTCCACGACGATAACGCGCTGATACCGATATCGTGATTGTGTACGCCAGTCCAGTATTGTCTTTATAGAGGTCCCGTGTTACTCTCACATTGCTATACATTTGCAATGGTAAGTACATTCATTCTACGCGAAACTTGCTGGTTTTTTAATATCTGTGCTTTAAATCGATCCAGCGGTCCTCGACCTTGCGTTGTATACGGACGTGTTCAGAAGCATTAGGCATACTATTTTCGACGAATAATCCTTAGTTCTCTTTGGAGCGAGACAAGAAACCTTATCTTGTTGGAAGATATAGGTTCAAACGCGTCGACAGGCTCTAGATCTGATGTTGCCATAGTAGCTCTAACTCGTGACGCTTCGCCATAATTTGCTGTAGGAGGTAGAATAATATTTTCCCCCAAATCTCAAGTCTTACACATTATCGTCCAGGTCTATCGAAATTTCAAAAGTACTTCAAGCTAAAACTAAGCAAAATTAGATATTCAAATGCAATCTGAACCTACCTTTATACCCGTTTCAAGTGAGAACATTACCCAATATTTTGGAGTATCGAAGTATTTTGAATTTCCATGGTGTCTGATATTTCTAGACACCATTCGTAGCTTCTCTGGACTGAACAGGTGAATTGTTGCGCTGCAACTGCTTCAACGTATTCCAGTTCTCGCCTAATTGTCCCGTACGCGTCCGCCCTCCTGGCAGAATGGCAACTGACTCTGTTTCGCGCGAGTTCGTGTTTGGAAGCAATTAATCAAATTAGAATTCACTGTTAGGCGGCGTGTCGCGTCTCTGTGTGGGTGCTTTCACAAGAATCGAGGCTAATCATAGAGCCGTAATAAAGCTAGTTTTGTAACGCTAATTGCGACCACTCGAGCGGTCGCCTATTAGAGATGCAACTATGTGCCGTCAAGGTTGGACTGGCGCAAGATGAATCGCAAGAAGTATGCGATGAACGCGATCCACGATGACGCGTATACAAATTCTACGCGATTTTCCGTTGGAATGGGTTGAATTATCAACAATTTGCGTCGCGAATAGTTATTTCATTTTTGAATTTAGGGTGGCTAGGTTACTCAGAAATTCTAAGACAGTATCTAGTTTGAATATATTAGGTTGTCCCAAAAGTATCTTTCGCGAGTTGCACTCTATTATTTTATGTGGTTGTGTTTGTATAAATAGATAATCTAATTTCATAGATATTCATGTGTAACAGTAATGGAGCGAAATGAATCGTGCACAATTCAGTAATGTAACATAAAACATAAAATATTGTGCATGTATTACTTATTAATAAAGCGAAAGAAACTTTTGGGACAACCTAATATTTTAATTTAGAAGAGATCGTTTGCTGATAAATGTTACAATTGAAGTTATTTAGGTAACATATAAGAAATCGTTTGCTATAATTATTATGCAAGAAAGATATTATTATTTCTATTAGATGAGAAATTATGAGAGGTAAAACAATTTTACATTTATGTTGTGCAGGATATTTGATTAGAAATAGTTCAGGTATATGAGTGTAACATCGATATGATTCCTGAGATAACTAACGTAAAACTCTTCCTTTTAGAAAGACATCAGTCTAAAACAGAAAAGCAGAATAGTTAAAATCTTTATTTAGTACAAATTATAAATCCTATTGAACGGCCATAAGCTATGAACAGATTAAGGAGAAACTACTCTTAATGTTACTACTACTCAGATTATTTCTCCTTATGTAACTCTTGAATTTTAAAAGATAGGAGGCTTGTAAATTGTTTAAAAAAGTGTAACAGTAAAGAAGATAGAAATTTAATTTTCGCCACATGCCTTTCTCAGTAATTTTTTTAATTTAGAAACTTTCTATGACGGTTCTGAGTGCTTTCATTTGACTTCCAGCGAAATAAATACAGGATCTTAAATGGGTAACGTTAGTTAAAACAATGAACGTAAATAAGTAATCTGGAGCTTACTTATTTAACGAAAAAGTGCGTGTAGCGCGGATTGCTGGATCGTTGTTGATTTCTGGTACGTTTTGTTCATAGCAATACGCGTCCAACGGTTCGCGAAATCGTTCGTTGTCTTCGGTTTATTTGTTTGGCCTCTCGATGTATGTTGACATCCGTATTAAACGCAGGTTACGAAATGTGGTGGTTCGAGGAAGCGCAAAGCAGTCGCGCGTGGCGAAGATACTTTCGCGTTCTTGCATTCAATTGACGTCGTATCGATGGCCATCTTTCCAGATGCCTCCACTCCATTATAATGCCTCGCGAATTCCTTAGGGGCCATCAAGATGTGCTCCAATTAACCAAATCCATTGTAATGATAGGATTTCATAAACGAGAAATATTTCAAGCTATTATTCATTTACATGTCCACTCTTTATTTTACAGTTGATTTTATCTCGAGAGTCAATATAAATGTTACCATTGAAGTTATTTAGGTAACATATAAGAAATTGTTTGCTAAAATGATTGTACAAGAAGGATGTTATTATTTCTGTTAGATGAGAAACTATCAAAAGTACAACGAATTTATTTTGTTTTCTATAATAGTGCAAAATGAATATTTGATATTTCGACACTTATTAACAAGTCCATTCAAGATTTTAATGTCTTTTTGGTTGTTATAACCTTGGTTTGTTTAACAAATCCTTTATCACTTACTTGGGTGATAGGAACTGATGGGAAAAGAAGGAAAAAGTTTAGCATTCTCATAAATAACAATGAAAACATCCGAACCAATGTATCGACAATTATATTTCGAAACAACCGACAATCACAAGGTCGTATACTGTTGAAACTGTTGTATTTACAACAGGTTTAGTTATTAAGATATGTGTGGAAAACAAGAAACATCATAATGTAATTTGTTTCTTTTGCGTTGCGTTACATACTTTTCATATTCTTATTAAATTGAATCATAAGTTAAGGACATTGGATTTGATCCTTTTATCTTGTTTCAACAAAATCCATCATTCTTTTGTGCACTTTTATTTCTGTTTCTTAATATGTCGAATAGATTCGTTAAATAAATGAAATTATAATCATAAGGCGGACTTTAAGAGAAAGAATAGGAAGTAATGAAACATTGCATTTTATAAAACTACTTGTAGAGATAGTGACAGGAAATAATCTTCCTTGGAGCAATTGACTGGTCACAAGCGCATATGTCATCGATAACGATAGCGAGCTTTTTATAACAGCCACCGACGTGAAAACGACGAAATCGGCTATCATTGTCGGAGTTTTAAAGCCACTTGTTCAACTTTCCAGGAAGTCGATGACTTGGTGCTGTATTTCGCTATAGCATGCGGGATCGCTGGCGGTGCGTTTATAGTGATTTTCATTTTGATGTGCGGGCTTTACGCCAAAGTGAGACGATTGGCATCGAACGGGTAAGTAATATCGCTCTGAATGCCAAAGGAAATCTATTTCTTTCATTGGTGCACGCAAATTTCCACCTCAACTCTTCCCAAACCTTTTCAACTATTTATTTTTAAGCAAGAATCCCATTACGCTTTGCTTCGATGAAAAAGGTGAAATTTACCCTCGCTGAAGGCTTTGCTTATTGTTTAAATTGAATGATTTTTGCGAGGCAGTTGATAACGATTTGACGGAGTTTTCTTATTAAAATTATGGGTATCAGCTCCATAGCCGACGTTTCGTTTTGTTGGGACAAGCAACGTTCGCAACGATGTTGGCCGAATATCGGAATATGTCACGTAAGACGTCACATCCTAAAGAACAAGTACGATTGTCAAATTCACGGCTTATCGGCGACACGCGAGTAGTAAACGTTTCATATCAAATGCTTGAGTTTGAGTCACCGCGACCGTAATCGATATCGTATCTCTACTCTATCGCGATGAGATCCAGCTTATCTTGTTGAAAGAATGCGAGATGGGTACAGGAGTTTAATGAGGTTTGCACGCGGTCAGATCGTTTCCTATTTCTTTTATATATATATATATTTTTGTTTTTTTAACGAAATCATTCATTTTAACTGTTTGCAGTTTGGTTCAATTCAAAGAATTTTGCAAAAGGGACTTTCTTTCATCTTTTTCGTTTAATTGCAATTGTGTCTATAGCCATTTGAAATAAACACATGATGTCAATTGGACGTGAAAGATGGATGTCGTTTAAGTGTCCATCACGAATAGCTACCAGGTATATATTGTTATTAAAAGCACACTATTAAAGTCCACTAAAATCCATTAAATTTATTTACCTGCTCTGATAATTATTTGCGATGAAATTAAATACACTGTGAGTTGTAGTGTAGTTGTTATGTTATGTTTTAAAAAATCAAGAGCAAAGAACCGCGTTGAAGTCGTTCACAAATACGCTCATGAAAGACTAATACCGTCCAAGGACCTCTCAATTTTTAGACACTGGAAGTTACAATACTATGTCATTGGCCTTAAAACTATCATTATTATAGTTAAACCAGCTGCAGTGAATATACGATAGAAGACAGCAAAATTAAGAAACTGTTGCAAAGAGTTAAATTGATTTTCGTGGAAACGATCTCGAACGATTTCTCGAATTTATTCTATGTCGCTTTTACATCACGTTTAATGATGACTGTTGTATTAAACTGATGGAATTGTTCAGGTCTAATCAACTAAACAGACAATCGAGTATGATGGCCGACTTTTGTTACACGAATCCCACGATTGTGCCAGGAGAGCTGCTCTCTCGACGCGGTTTCTCGATGTACAGTGGTTCCGAGGCTTTTAACGAAAATTATACGACAAAGAGCAAAGACCACTATGGGACCTACCAAGAAGGAAGATCAAAATTTTGACCACGAATCGCAACTTCCGAGAACCATCATTGCAATTCATGTAACATCAACGAAATATTGAATAATGAAAACTAGGAGATCGATTAGTTTAGTTAAGCGATTCATTGTACTTTAATCTGCAATGTATAAAACTTGCGCGAACTTTGTCTTCGCTTGCCATACAATTTATTAAATGTATATATACATAGGTGTTTACATATAATTTCATTACCATTTATATTATAATTCGTTCAAATTCAGAACTCATGAATAGATATCAAGGAAACCATTTTGCTTAGTGTAATAGAAGAGGTGTTTAATAAAATATCAACGAAAAATTACGCAATAATTATGTGTAATGTATCCAACGAGTGATAATATATTACGGAAAAATTGTTTCGAAATAGTGCCGTTGGTTGTCCATAGATGTCACCATATACGTATATCGATTAGTATCGAATAGTTGGTGTATGAAATAGAGAACAGGTAGTAAGAGTGAAAATTTAGTATGCAAATCATTCGCACAATTTAGAAGACTAACATGTGCGATCAGTAAGATAAATAAACCAACCAATCCTGACACATTCTGCAGTGTTTTTAGTTATTTATTTTAGATTTACCATCGTGATTGAATCCCAAAGTTGTCTGCATATAATACCATCTGTTTTGTTTTGTAAGGTGCATTGTTGATAATAAATATTTCTATGTTACTTACTTTCCAGGTTACTTGCTTTCTTTATTATTGCAATAGAAACACTTTGCCTTTTCTTTTGAAATAAAGTACCGTGAGTAAATCATGTTCATGTTTATTTATTTGTTAAGGGTACGTAGCTCGCAATTAGTTATTACACTTGGTCAATAAATTATACACTGTACCTATTTCTTGATATATTAATCGCATCCTTAAGGCGTATTTCCGTTAACTTCTATTTAAGTCCCAGACGACGCCGACGCGACGTGTGCGTTTCACTAATTGCTCCTTCCTGATCCGGTGTCACCTTCGGAAACGTAACACCACAGTGCTCCGACCCTTCGACCACTCGAACACATCCCCCTCGGGAGAGTAATTCACCAATGAAATTTGTATCGAGGGTAAAAGTGATTTATCATTAAGAAGATTTATTAAAAACTCGTTTTCTTGTTACTAAAAATCTCACATGTTCTTTAAACTTTGTTCAATGTCACTAAGATTGGTGTCACTCTAAGATTATCTAATACCAGCTATCGTCAGAAACTTTTGTAAAAACTCAAACTATTGAAAAGATAGATGATATTGTATTAAAAAATGTATTATAAAACTAACTAACTAACTAACTCTTACTGCAGTATGCAATTTTATAGATATTTTGGTGTTCCTCCCCATGATAATGTCATTCGATGCAGCTTGCATCGCCCTCTTGTGACGTCACTGGCGCCAGGTACTCGCAGGCATACTGTCAGAGCGGAAGTGGAGCACCTTCTGGCCCGATACACGCAACATTGTCATAGTGGGTGGCGATGGGTGCGCGGGTAGGGATACAGACGATGCCACGGGGAGTAGGCAATAGCATGGGGATAGGCCGTAATTGGTATAAAATCATCGAGCAAACACATCGGACAAGACAGCCCGAGGGTTGTGGGCGGCGTTACGTGCCGTTGCCCTGGTTACCGTTGGGCGACTCTGCTAAAGCACCCCTTCGCCTTGATTGCGCACAGGCCTATCCCCTGTACGTATCCACCTTGTATGTGCGTACACCCTGTGTCGTGAGCGCGAGCGCGTTACAGCATCTACACCAAAGGTTCTCAAACAGAGGTCCACGAACCCCTGGGTCCTCCCAAACGTATCGATAGGGGTCCCTCAGTTCTCGAAACAAAATATTAATGACCTGTGCCTTTTACTTCAAATTTGATCGTATGAAAGCCTGTGACCAGGTCAACATTGCTTCCCTTAGTAAAAATTTTTATTATACTTTATTCAATCGAATATTGGACAGAGTTTCCCCCTTATAATAAACGAATGCGCCCCTGTACTTTGGATACACCTAAGTGTTTCCATTGCACACGCAACTTGTCGAGTGCTTAGCTTAACCGCACCCTGCGGATCCGCGTTTATGTTCCTAATCGGCCCGGATTACGGGTAGTTTCGCCCTGCCTCTCATAAACAACGGCACGGGACATATGTTGTTCTTCGCGCGTTCAATCGCGACGCGCAATGTTGTTCTTACGTTCTGCGAAATGCTTGCGATAAAATACACCGCACGTGTCGCGAGAAACGTAATCCTACGAAAATCTGTTTACGGTGCAATCCGTGATTATAAAATTGCTGTTCGAATTAGCACGTTTTCATGTTTTCAACGTTATCAACGTCTGAAACTTCGAGTAGAAAAGGAGAACTAAAACTTACGAAGAGAAAGATCCATTTCTTTAATATCCAGAATAGAAAATCTCTTCAAGGGTGGAACACCTGAATTCCTTCGAGCTTTCTGTTGACGGGGTGCGTCGGTTTGATCGTGGGTAGCGTCTCGACGTGACACGGACGTCGCCGTCGGCAATGGACGCATCCCTCGACTGATCGCACAATTTCACAGAATCGTGGCTGCGTCGCATTCGCTGGCCGAAGAATTTAACGAGGGGCACGCGACTGGCCCCCCTCCGGCGTGATCGTCGTTCCAGTCACACACGTCCGATAATAGCAGCTCTGGTGAACGTGAAACACCCCCAGTCGTTGTTGCACTAACGTCGTGGTTCATGCATATTCATAGTGCTGTCTATGTTTGTCGTGTGCGAAGTTAATGCTTCTGATTGCTTGCTATACATTTTCAGAGAAACTGCTGCACAATTTTTTGATGGACTCGATTGGTTCCCTGCCGGACCGGAGCTACTTCAAAGTACAACAACGTAATCCAAAGTTAATATAGTTTGAGTAATTGAGTATCATTTTAGAAGTGGACTCAAGGAGCAAATGTAATAAATAAAAGATTTACTTGGATGGAATCGTCAGTGTTTATCTGCGACCCTATCGTTGTAATGATTTATAGAAAATTTCAACTCGAATTACTAAAATTCAAATTAACTTAAATTTAAATTGGATCTGGATATTTCAAATGAATTTTATATTGTGAACTGATTTCGCGCTTGGAAGAAAATTAGTGACTCGTCTCGTGAAAGCTGTCTTTTTAGATGTCGCTTTAATGGTGAAGTGAGTTGACGGCGATTATAAAGGGGCACGTGGCCCTCTTCATGAACGACCCCATGCAGGCAAGCACGCGACCACCGAAAGCTAACCCAAGAATCGCACAAGGCACAATTAATTTATTGTTCGTGCCGACCCAGTGACAATCGGGGGAACGCTGAAGAAAAACAGGATCGTTGTTTTCCTCTGTTTCAACGGAGGGGTCGGTGGATCGGACGCTGGGACGTGATCCTCGACTATACGATTGTTATCGAGTAACCAGCGATTTGTCCTGTGCGGTGAGCCCCTTGATGCTTACTCGATTTTGAAACACTGCTGTATGCTTACTTACATCTTATTATTTAAAATTACTTTACTTACGTTTCATTAATTCAAATTATTTCTCGCGACTCAAATCAATTCTACTCTAATCTAACTTTATCCATTAAGTTTAAATTTTGTAATACCAAGAAGCTTTTCGAAACATCGCATGCTGCATAATTTCGTTGATACATTCCATTCACATTTTCATTAATTAAAATTACTCCATACAACAGATGTTAGTTATTATCAGTGGTACGAAATTTTAATCATCAATAAATCGTTTCGAATTTTCTGCAGGACTCTTTGAATATAAAATTATTTTTTTAAACATTACATACTCACTATGCAATTTATTTAATACGTTCTCTTCTGACAAGCATCACATTTTCGTTAATAAAACGATCTGGCAACGATTATTGTCATAATCTAACTATGTCTATTAATAACTGGATTTTTAATTTCGTATGAAATTTCTGAACCGACTCTTCACCGTTTGGTGAATTTTCGTACGAAATCCTCAAAGTGATTCATACTGGAAATAAACGAATTAAGATGGGGCGTAAATCATCTAACGGGGCTATTAGGAAATTTTATAGTACCGTGTACCAGGCCATATGTTTTGGCTTAATCTCCATAATTCAGTAAGGAGGGGACGCACCGTACTCCCTGGTAACGTTATCTGCCTTTCACGGGTACCTGCAGGGAAACAAATTGAAGATAATGGGGAATCCCCACGATGAAAAGAAAATGCTGTCACCTGTAAACCAGCGATGGTAAAATAGCCTCTGTGCAGGTATTCGGGGTGCGACCATCGGTAGACCATTGAAAGTATGCTTCTCATAAAATCGTTCGAAACGATTTCTAGCTTACTTGATGGACCAATAACAAATAAATTGCCTTGAGAATCTAAAATACTATTCTTCTTAAAAGAACATTTGCAATTCATTGTTTACTTCTCTCAAACATGAAATATTATTTTTATTAAAGAAACATCTAGATTCGTTGTTAAAAGAAAATTCATTCATTTAAAGAAAATTTTAATTTATCCCGTTATGTGTTTTATATTAAAAAATGTTCTCCATTAAATAAATAATTCGTAAGGTACCATTTTATTCAAAAATTAAGCAGCAAAATCGTCGAACGCTTCGATAATTTACTCCGAATCCTTCTTAAATGAAAGTTGATATATTTATTCTTGAAGTGTCAAATGATTATTTTTTCCAAAAGAAAATTGTTATTGGTTATTTTCCAATGCATTCCTTCGACTTCCAATTTCATACGAGCACTTCTGATCTTTCTGAAACAAACTCCATTCGATCATCCTGATAGGTTTGGCGTCGAAAATGATAGGAAATGAGATTAATCGTTGTCAGAGGAAAATATGATTATATTTTCTCGCGTAGGTATGCAGCGCGCGCTATACTTTTACAATATTTACATCGCTTACGTCCTAATTATCGTACAATCGCGGTGTTATTCACTCGCTACGTATTGTACCGCGCTCAATTTACATCGAATATAAATAATAATTAAGGTTCGCTTCGATATTACGTGTACACGCGTTTTATACATGCGGTGTAACTTCCTCGTCCGGATATGTGCCGAGAAACGGTTACTAGAGCTTTAGAACAGAGATGGTCAAATTTTTCAAACAAATAAATGGATCGAACACTAGGGAAAGACAAATAATTTTTTGCTAAGATTAATTTTAAACTTAGACATTGCTCGAAAAATGTATTTAAAAAAGCATCACTTTTGCCGATAACTTGAGCAAAAGTTAATTTCATAAAATACATTAAAGACACTAGGAAAAATAGGTTTTTTGAGCTGCATTAAATAATACTAGTCCTGAAGAATCTTCTTTTATCCCCAGTGTCTGTAATAATTTAATCAACGTTGCTAAAGGTTGAAATTAATTTTTTCTTGTCTTATCAATAAAAATGATCTTGTTTTAAATACAAATTCAATTGGGAATAAATCGTTGTTGGTTGTATTTATCTACTATTCGAATGAAATTTCGCTCATCTCTGGTTTATAATGAGATACTTCGACGGTTAAATGTACCGGGTGGGCTCCCGGATACGCCATGTACATAAGTGCATGGCCTAGTGCTCGATTCGTTCGAATGAACGCGAATAAAAATATAATAACAGCGATATTTTGTTGTTCCATTTTTTTTGTCTCTCCTCGCTTAAGCAGGGCGCGTTTCTTTGGTCGGTTGGTACAAGCACCGGTCAGTCTTCGGATCTATGTAAGAAATATGGAGTATGTACACGTCTTAAGATTTAGCAACTACGTAATTTACAACGTCTAGAAGTATGTACAACGCGCTACGCTGATATCTTAAAAACAATCCGATGCAGCTTCATGCTTTTTTCCTTATTTCTTTATATACAGAATGAACGCCTGAAAACTAGATCCTTTGGCGAGCTTTTCACTCGTCCTTGCAGAACACTGTGTATTGATTCGTGCGAAATTATCAGAGACGAGCAAAATAATTATCTCGATAGACACTGTCGAGTAACGAATAAAAGGTACTGATTACTTGGTAATCATTGCAATTTGAATTATAAAATAAATATAGAGGGGTTTCTAAAATCTCAAACTACCCTTTGGAAAATCCTTTATTTCATGTTAAGCGAATGAAAGTTTCCTTTGTAACTATCCAATAGAGTGAACGTTGCGAATAAACGTTTATGCGGTGATTTTATTGATTATTTGTTATTCGAATGAAATTTTGCCTGTCTCTGAAAATCGTACATGTTTGTGCTCGCTCCTCAAGAGCAGAAGAACTTCAGCTAGTCACGTCCAGCGTGAATCTGCTGAAATTCTTTTCTCTAATTTTGACAGTCGAGCATCGATCCTTTGTGTTCTTCAACGAATGGTATTATCGAACTTGTTTTAATTCGAAAATTCGATCGAATCGCCTACTCGATTTCGATGGTTCGTTCAGGTAATTTAAATTAAAAAGTAGTTGCTTCCTGCGAATATCGTTGGTAATTGAATGAACAAACGGGCTCCAATATAAATAACGTAGTTCGACGTTCAAAGATATGTCACATCCTTAGCAAGAACCGAAGTTGGGTTCTTTGTACAATAAGTAACATTTTTGTTATAAAGAACACGATACTACTACGTTTCGTCCCTTGTCAGCTAATTGGACTCATCGACAAGCCTTATCTAGCATACCTTGTCTTAGATGGTATTAATAGTTTGAACAATCTGATCAAACTAATTGTCTACTAATAACTGCGTAAACTATCGATTAATTAGTGACTGGTTACGCGATTAATTGCTTCGCGTTTGAGACAGGATCTGATGGACCAGTGATTCTCAAACTTCACTTTTCCTTGAGTCGCTCAATAAAGGATAATTTCTTTTTATATTGTTGTTTACTGTTGTTTACTGGTCAGTGAATAAAAATAAACACACAAAAAATAGTCCACTCGCTTGATTTCAATTTGAGTAACATTAAGATAGCTGATCCAGGACGAAAAGTAATAATATTGCTTTTTGTACCAAATATAGTACTCATTATTAAGAACATAAGAATTTGATAAAAATCTGCATCAATAAAAGAGGCCTCTAGAAATGAGGCCTGGACCAAATACAATGATAACAAATCGATCAATGTAATTAATTCCCTTAAGTACATCAATTGTATACTGTTCTCAGTATTGTGTAAACTCAATAGCATCAATGTTATTTGCGATCCACATAACATCGAGCTTAAGCACTGTTTCCGTACTTTATCAACAGATCACGATCCACTTCTCATATTCGCAAACCAGTTCATTGCACGTCAGAGAATTCGTCAATCTGTTTTCTTCGATAGATTTGATTTTAAAATACATCACTTCAAAAATTCTCTATCGAACCAATAACTGAAGAGACTGAAACGTTCCCGTGAACCAATTGCTTTGAGAACTCTAGAATCAAAGCTCCTCGAATCCAAACACTCTGTTTTCCAATCCACCCTGGATCTCAAACACGCCATTTCATCACACCTCGATCTTCCAGTCTCCACTGAAAATCGCTCTCAGAATCGATTTTCTCCCGAAGAACCAAACAATCTCTACTCCACCCTGGTCTCTCGACACCGCGTTCCGTATGGCGCAACGTAGGCGACAGGCTCGGTGGCGTACGTCCTCAAACCAGCACTCACATGGTGAACCTGACCGCCGTCTTGCGGTTCGGTAAGACCACCGTACTGCTGCGACTCGACCACGCGATCAGCGCAATGGGCGACGCCCGAACGATGCTCCAGGGTGTTCCCTGCGGGACAACTCTGATGCCCTCGGTAGCACGGCTCGTCGTCGCAATTGGTGTCGAGGTGCTACGCGCAGGGCACCTCGAGTTGGTGTCAGTGAACGAATTGGTGATGTGCCTCGTAGTGGTGTGGATGATGGATCACCAACGGCGGCGTGCCGCCACCGATCGGCGCCGATTGGTGAGCGTGCCCGTGCAGATCCTGGACGGAGCTAGGGCTGTACTGTTGCGAGTCTACGATCACGCTAGTGTAACCCGCTGGCGTGGGCTCTAGGTGATGATGCGAATGTTTCACAGGTGTGTTGCCAGAGCTATGGTGACCGGAGTGCGGCTGATAGGGAGCCTCGTGGTGCTGGAGGTTCCCTGTCGCGTTCGCGGCGGCGTTGTAGCTGTCGTTGTTGTTGAAGCCGCAGTTGGGGTACATAATGACGCCACCCACCTCGTTGAGGTTGGACGGCGCTGTGTCGGGGATGTGGTGACGATGATGGGGATGATAGCTCGGTGGTAAAGAGTGAAGGCTCAACGGACTCGGCAAATGAGTGTCTATGGCGTCCGTGCTGCCGCAGGAACTGGAGGAGGTCGAGTAGGGTCTCTTCTGTTGAGTTCCTTGCGGACTGTGCTGCTGCTGCTGTTGCAGGCTGGTCAGGGACGTGGCGTGATGCAGCAGGTGAGTGGGATGCTGACGTTTCTGTTGGGCGTTCTGAGGACTGTGCTGCTGGAGGTTCGACAGGGAGTTGGTATGGTGCAGCAGGTGCGGGTGTTGCGTCTCTTGCTGTTGTGGCACCGTGGCCAGGGGGTCTTGGTGCATATCTGGAACGGAGGAATTTATTTTTTAGTTTTTTTTATACTGTCGGAAATGATTAGTTTTTCCTTGATACTCTTTGTAATAACACAATTGCCCAAAAATGGGTATCGTTTTTGTTACTTTGAGATCAGTATGCCCTACTTCAATCTTCTTTTTAAAGTCACTCAATCATTAACATTGCTTTTACTATAATATTTGAAGAGAATTATTCTAACAGAGAACTGAGCCGTTCATTGCAGAAATCGATTAACTCCATAAAACAAAAAGTTGAGAATTACGATGAAATAATGTACATTGTTTTTTAAAATTCCTTTTATAATATAAGTTCAAATAAATCTTGTAGATGCATAAATACAGATGTAACTTTCATTTGTAATACCTTTGGTTTAGTTCCGCCCCCCCCCCCGGGGGGGGGGGGGGTGCTGTAGTGGAAGGGTTTTAGTTAGTACGAATCTGACTCTAAGATTTCCCCTCCACCACGGTAATAAAAAAAAAAAGATGCAGCTTTCATCTAACGTTATATAAAATTATTAAGAAAGAATAGCCGAAAAATAATCGACAGTAATATTACAATTTATATGTGACTGGTGGTGTTAATTAATTTGTGCAGTGTATGGCTTAATCAATTCGATTAACAAATATTTAGTTCGTTCTTCCTCCTCTTTTCTCGCACTACAACGATACAGTTGGTAGTTATAATGTTAAGACTGAATTGAATCTCGATCGAAACCAAATCCACCTCAATTCTGGCACAAAATGGTTCGGGTCAAAATCGACCCAACCAAAGGTTGAACGTATCCTTACCTCCGTATTGGTAGAACAAGTCAGGGCTGTAGTAGGAGCTATCCTCGTGAGTATTGCCATTCAAACTTTGCGTGGCGTAAGGCGACGATAAAAAATGGCTGTGATTCGACGTGCCGATGTACTCGGGGTTAGGGTAACCGGCGCTGTCCCCGTAATCGTTATCAGGCGGTTCTTTCGTTCTGTTCCGATAAGCCGGAGGGCTGGGGCTGTGGTTCTCCAAATCGTTCGCTCCTGCGCTGGCCGTGGGGGTGGCCAGAGGCGCGCTGGGGGGATTCCCCGGGCTCGAGCAGGAGGATATTTGCTCGCAATTCAACACCAAGTCTGTGCTCTCCGGTTCCGTCAACACGTAATTAACCGACACTATGCAATGTGGCCTGGAACTTCTCGAATTGTGGACGATCGTTACGTACGATTGCATCCAGATCCAGCCTCCCGACTTCGTCAAGAACCTGTAGTATTTGGTCGTCACTTGACCCTTGTACAGCACTGCGAACACATAAGATGAACGAAACATGAGACACTTTTATGATAAATAGATAAAAGACAATTGGGTTGTCTGGAAAGTCCATGTCGATTTTTTGTAGATGGTCTTTATGTATCGGAATGGTTGAAAACAAATAACAAATAACATGTATGTAGTTCAATAAATACGTATCAAAATACAAATGTGCCTTTGAATTTTTTGTAAAAATTGCCACGAACATTCTGGACAACCCAATAAATATCGGTTCAGTATGTTTGCTTTAGAAACAGTCAACAGGGGGTAGGTACTTTATTTGATCATTATTTCTCTCTATAAATTCGTTTTCTGTAATTACAATTACTTTGAATGACGAGACATCTCGTAGTTGGCAGAGAATGGGTTAACCCCTTCGCGACCAAGAGGTACACGTCTCCTACACAATTTTCACCGTCTACCTTTTATCGTTCATCCAAAGTAATCTCCTTTTATAATTTCTTTCGGGGACAAACAGAAATTTTCACGCAGAGGGTAATTCGGTTTGGGATTTAGATCGCGGTGCAGATTACGGGGAGGGAGGCATCCGAGGCGAGCTGAAAGAAAATTTTTGGGCGTAACGTCGATCGTACAATCCGCAGGCGCAGACATTAGTGGCATTATGTCAGGGCTCCCTTGAAGTTGCGCTCGTGAAACTGCGAGTCTGTTCAAACAGTGATAGCAGTAACAGCCTCCTCCTCTCTTGCCCTCTTCCTACCGTCCCCCTTTCCCACCTCCCGCCCTCTCTTCCTTCTATTCACCCTCGCGGTGCTGACGTTCTCGCGCGCACAGATACGTACACGCAGCGAGCCTCTCTTTTGCTCTCGCGGCGGTTCGTAGCCAGCATTGTTCAATCAATAATGTACACCCTGTATGTTACTACGTATGCACATACTTAGGCTTTAACGTGTTGGCGCGCGGTAGCGTCTGCGGCCGGAGAGAAAAAGAAGAAAAAAAGAAATGCTCTGTTATACTCGCGCGCTACCTCTACTCGAAAGCTCGGGACACGGATGGAGGATGGGAGGAAGGAAAGATCAAAGGATATTTCGTCAGCGAGGGCGTCGCCGTGTTAAGCAGCGTCAGCTGCTTCTGGCCTCGCGAGAGCCTCTTCTTCGAGCACTCTGATACCACGTCGACGCCTTCGAGACCGTTTTCGGACTACGACCGACGACGGGGAGAATAAGGCCTATTTCGGAAGACAGCTACTTGCCCTGAACCGTATCAGACTTTTCGAATGGGAACGAGTCTCTTCATTCTGGCAGCTTCAGCGCAGAGTCCAATTCGAACCTCTTGTGATTTTGAGAATTTAATGGTAATTGTTACGGAGGGTACCAATCGTTGAAGATGGGGGAGAGTTTAAACTACTGCTGAGAGAATTTTGTGGTATCGATGTTAATAACACTGCGAACACAAGGGATGAACGAAACGTAAGAGATTTTTATGATAAATAGATAAAAGACAATTGGGTTGGGTCTGGGTTATCTAAAAAAAGGTTTAAGGGTCTATCTTAACACATTCGCGACCGCTAATGTGAATTCACGTCAGTTTTCATTGTATTGTAGTAATAATAATTCTTTAACCTTTTTTTGTTCCAGAACAAAGCTATCCTCGGTTGGTAAATTTATCATTACAAAAGTCAAAGGAAATAATGAAGTTTCTAATAATTGCCTTCACTGTCACACATATGATTGTTTTCGGAGATCGCCTTGTCTCTCCCTCTTCATTGAAGCGTTTATTGATTATATTAAACACTCTATGCGTAATGTTTTCACAATCTAGTTTCAAATGTTTATGAATTTTAATATACTTGCAAACGAGTACTTACATATTCGATGAGCCTGTCTCAGCTGGCACGCGTCGCACCCGTGCACGTAATGATAGAGGTTTTTCTCGATCAGATCAGGTGGGTTGTACCCAGTCATTTCGGCCATCCTGCAACATTGGAAAAAATATGCCTTGCTACAATATTTTTTTACACGCTTTGCAAGGTCCCCAAAAATCACGCTTTGAACTTGGAGTCATCGAAACTACATATGATTCTTAGCAGATTACGTTGACAGAACGGCCATTAATTTTGATATACCATCAAATACCAAGAAAACTCGTAGTAACTAAAGCTCCATTTCCATAACCCTCCAGTTCTGGCGTATTATCTCATTTGAACATCCTACTATATTATTCGAAACATTTCCTTGTGTACGTTCGCATAACCGTCATCGGGGAAATCGATTTTCCAAGCGTGTATAAAATTTCATCCCGCGTTCCGTCGCGTTACCCCCTCCTGGTATTTATACATCGCCACGTGTTCATTTCCCAGCGTGTACAATGTACATGCATCGCGAGCATATATGATACAGCCCTGTCCACGGTGGATGTTTATTTGACGCGAATAAAAAAAACGTGAAAAAAGTAATGAAAAAGGAACGAATGTCCACCGGTCCGTGGTAACACGAAACTGATTTTAATGGTCGCCGACCCCTGCGACCCTTCCCCATTGGCGTCGAAATATCGACGGCGCAATTTAACACCGCGCCGTAATTACAACGGCAGAAATAATCTAGCTTGTTTAGTCGTTTCGATCGACGTCGACTCTTCTTTATAACAGCGATTCCTTGCCTTTTTAATACTCGCAGCATAGGTCAGACGAGGATTCCTTAGAGAAGAAATTCTGATTCCATAATCGTGAATAATTCAGTAATATATTATCGAGAAGATAAGTTATTTCTGGTTGCGACGTTTCAACTATTTTATTTTACAAGTTGAAGATATATCAGGTGTATACTTTTATTATATTAATTTAACACATCTGCGATCGCTGACGTGAATCGACGTTACTTCAAATTCTATTCCTGGTTTCTATTCCAAATTATGAAATCAAATCAATTTCAAATTGATGAATTTTATTATTTTTGTCAGTACTCGGTGTTAGAAACTTAAAGTATCTGCCGGTCGTGAATGTGTTAATACAAGTAAATTTATTGTACCACTGTAATGAGTTTGTGGTTGCTTTTAAAGATTACATTTCATTCGGATCTATTAATATAATACCTCTCAACTTTGAATAGGAATTAACACGTCTAGGATAACTAACGAGGTTATCGCAAACGTTGCTTACCTAGTGTCGACGAATATCAGTTTCAGGTCCAATGATGCACGGAACATGAACATATTCTGGTGTAATTTGACTTCCGTTATGGACCGCGTAGGCAGGGAATGACCCACCGCCAGCAACCCAACGTTTCTGATGCATCTACCTGTGCCGTCCTCGTACTCTGACCCTACTGGTCCTTCTATGATACATTTTAGGTAGCCAGAGCAGTGTATGACCTGCAAAAAACGAAGGCAATGTTTAATAAACGAAAATATCCTATACGTTTAGGAATACTGCATAATATAACAATTAAGTACATTACAGTAGACTATATTTCAGGGAGTTTAATAACAAAAATCGGAGTCAGGTTTATTCAAGTTTCAATTTTACATCTTAAAAGTGATATAATATTGGTAATGGAAGGCTTGTGGGTTAAAGGAGCTTTTGTCCTTTCAAGGAACGTAAGAGTCACTTCGAAATCTTTTCTTAAGGTACTTATAATGCCTGTCAGATTTAAACGTACCTATTCCTCACACTATAATAATACTTAGACAAGGAATTATAGAGAAATACGAGTAAATCTTGAACAAATTTCAATTTAATCCAGTTTATAGTAAAATAGAGTAAAATAAAACTTAAATAATAGTCTCTATCTTTTTTCTTTTTTTTTCTTGACTATTATAAAGGTCGTAGCAATATTATTATGAAAACATCATTATTTCCCCCTCATGAGTACTGTAAATTTCAAGTGATTTGAGAAGTTAAATTTAACAGAAGTCATCTAAACTTCTCATGATCCTCGTAGACACATTCGACGATCGCAAATGCTGTCTCACCCACAGCAACATCAATTCCTCGTCATCTTCGAGAAATCATCGTTAATTAGTGACCAAAGGACAGTTAAAAGGTGACAAGTGGGTTCCGGGGTACCTCGAGTGAATCGAAACGAAGCGTCGCAATTAAGCTCGGAACACTTGACACGGCGACTTATCGTTAGTTACACATGTGCATGCGATTATTCTCAACGTTATTCAAGAATCCTGATAGAGCATAAGTGCGACACTCGAGCGTCGGTTCCCCGGGGTTGAAGTGCGGATTCTCGCGGTGGAACGATGCACTCCTAACAAATTAACAATTCCTGCTTAATTAAATGGCCGATGAAACGAAAAAAAGCCTCGTTCACCGTCCGCGTTTCCGCGCTGCGTCTCGAGTACGCCAGCGGAATTTGTAAAGCAAATAGGCTTATTCGTATGCCCGCGTTGCATATATCTGTTCGCTCTCATATGCAATTCCTGTGTAACGCGCGAGTACAGGAACACGAGGGTGCCGTGAAAAGGAAAATAATTTGCGACGAGGGCGCGCGACCATGCTCGATTTCACTTTGGAGACCGACTCGAGAGACGAGCTGCTGGAAAGTCGACTACGCCTGCGAGCTGCGAGAGGTTCCCTGATAGGCTATCCGACTTACAGGGAACCGTCATCCAACTGTCTTTGTACTTGTATTTTACGTGCTACTCGATATATTAGGCGTTGAAATAAATAATGCCAGAAATAATCTAGCTTGACTCGTAGCTTCGCTCGACGTTGACTGTTTTCACTTTACTGCTCTTTATTAGGGGTTGTTGGAAACAACTTGTACTAGAATTATAACTGTGAACGTAAAGGTATAGAATTAATTTCTACATCTAATAGAATGCAGGGAAGTGATAGAAATTTATAAATAAAAGCCGTGGAAGTTTAAACCTACGAGTTGCAATATGGACGACGGAGCATGTTAAACTTTTTTTTAACACATTGAACACAGTGTTTTGTGAATGAATGCTTCAAGGATTGTATTCCGAATAAGTGTAAGGAATTATATTGTTGTCGTTTAAAAATTTGATTTTTAAAGTGTAGTATTGAATGTAATATGATTGACTCGTCCAAGAATGGATAATCTTATATTTTCCATGTCAAATATCCAATGATATATCTATAAAATCAGTATACCTTTTCAGAACTTGCAAAACCAGTTGTATAATTTTATTTACCTGTGCCTTGTATTGAATACCATGATTCAAAAATCAATCTTATTCACGAAAACTAAGTATAATATTATATAAATTAAGTGTGTCTCTTTACATTCTTATTTCTCGTACTAAATACAATAGCTGAAGTTTTTAAATTTACGTATTACAACTCACAGGGTAAATCTGACTTGAATTCCTCATTATCCACAAATTTTCTTCGTTTCGTACTCATCCATGTTCCTCGCGATAATCGCCTCGGAATACTCGGCACTAATCCGTGTAAATCCGACAAAACGTGTGCTCGCACTTCCGCAAAGTTAAGCCAACTACGATTCGGTCTTTGTGCGCCTAAGTGCCATACAAAAACCTGCCTTCGTTCCAACGAAGCCCCCCGCTGCCCCTCCGGGCTCACCTAAACAGCACGCAGGGGTTGCATTCATGACTTTGCTCAACGCCTCTATTGGGGTCTTCTGTGTGCGATTTCGTCGAGAGCCACGGTCATCATAGCACTGCGGGCTTGAACGAGCTATTTGCCAAACATTTTCCTTCTCGAGGGCTCGCTCCTTTGGTTGGCAAGTGCGAAGTGTCGCAGGTCCCTCGCTGTCCCTCGACCGATACGCTTCCACCTCTTTCCGTTGTTAAGTATAGCGATCGGGACGTAGTTATTGCCATGACATATGTCGAACATTTGGCGAGGACGAGGCAATCCGCGGGGAAAAAGGGGGCTCGGTTTTCCCGATTTCGGTGAATCGGTGGCGATGCTAACGATCGTAAATTAAGATTAGCTAGTACTGACGAAATCTGGATCTGGGTCGCGCTGATGGGTTTAATCGGATAGACGAGAGTAATTTGTGTGAGTCGTGAATGGTAATGAATGGTAATGCGCTTTACGTTTCTGGGGGTTCGATGGTAAACTTGGAAAATAAATGGCGATATTGTTGGTTTGGCTTGAGGGGGCTGTGGTGGCAGGTGAAAGGATTGAAATTAGACCTATTATTTCAGGTGTCATTGCGAGTAGTTTAATCGGTCACGTTTTAGGTTGCCTCAAGACATCATCAGGGATTGTAGAAGTAAAAAAAAGTGGGATCGAGTAGGTAACAGGTGTTATAAGTAAAACCATGGAAATAAAAATCCAATGATTGGAAAGTAAAAATTAAATTAGATTAAGGACTCCGAAAAAAATCCGAAAAGTAGATGAAACAAGGAATAAAGAGGTCCACAAAGGAGTAGCGTATATTTTGCAACCTGCGTAAATTTCAATATTCGAAACACAACGACGATGTTTTTATTGTACGGAACGGATGCAGACGGAGTGAATTTGAGGCAGTGCGCATCTACCTGGTGGCCGTTTTCTTTTCGACTCGCGCGTGACCAGGACAATGCCGTCCCTACTTAGCTCGCCACTCCTTATCTTTTATTTAGCATTCGAATTTTTATTCGTTTTATGATTTCCTGTGCAAGCAACCTAGGCGTTATGCTAATCGCCGTTCGGCTCTTCTTCCGGTCCTCACGGATTGGCTTTAACCGGCTTGTTTGCCGCGAATATTGCGCGATTTATGAAAGCCAATATAAACCCCCATAATCGGTAGCGTGTTTTCGCTACGCGCACATCCGTGGAGGAATTCACACTGCCAACGATTCGTAATTTCGTGCAAAGAATGCGATTCATTTCGAATGACTTTTAGTCAACGTATTGACCTTTATTCGTGCATTATGCTGTTCAAAAATTTGGAGCATTTTTCGATTTTTGTAGAAATACAGATTTTTTGTATTTGTAGCATTGAATATTTTACTGTTTCGTAGTAAAATGCAACTATTTGGGAATCACACGAGATAAAAATTGCACGTTGTAAATATTCTTCAGGAAAACACGAATATTTGGTTAACTACTACTTCTTTAGGAAATTTAACGCATTCTCTCCAATATGTTTATTAAAACGATTGTGTACATACGAGAAACTGTTCTGAATATCATATCATAATAAAGTGAAATAAAAAATCATTCCTGTTACGCATACGTGACGTTAGTACATAGAGCACTCAACACTTTTTAATAACTTTATTTCAAATTTAAATAATACGTTATTTCATCGTTACTTGATTCTTGAAATACAGTTACGTTATCTTGTTGAAAATTAATTTTTCATCGAATATCACACAACATCGAACAAAATTTACGAGGATTGTATCGGTAAATATTTATTTATGATTGAAAACAAGTGAGGTAGCACTTTGGCACCTACGGTTGCAAATACGTTACACAGAATATTTAAAATGAATGTAGAACATAGATGAAATTTGATGTAGTTACCTTGTATCCTTCCGTGACCAGCCCCGCGTTCCTCTTCGCCAGGATGCATTTCATCCTGAGGATGAAGGCACGCTCTAGCTCGATTTCGCCTCTCGAATTAGGCGGGGAGAAACTGAAGCCTGTGAGGTCCGCGGTGCTTTGGGGCAGGTTTAAAACCGCCATCATCTCGTCGCGATCGTTGTGGTAGATGTACTCGTATATACTGTTCCCCGTCAACTCCACCTGCACACATCGACACTCTCCGTCAGCAAATTATTCCAAATTCACGCCAAGTTTTGTGATCATTTAAAAAAATGTGACAATAATCGCGGGAAGAAAATAATGAAGTTATTCTTCTAGTCGTTAGAAGCAATCTCTTGATTTATTTAATGCGACGCTGGAAATACTAAGAACTTCAAACCAATCGAAGGGATTGTTCGAAACGACTAGAAGAATTATTTACTGTTCGATCCTCTTTGTCCGAAGCTTGCAATGCACGCGCAAGACAGTTACGTGTATAATCGTATGAAAATGAATTATTAATTAAATAAACGACGGGATATCTCCGACCTGCGACAGTCCCAAGTGCACGCTGGCCGTTTCGCTTATGTACATAATTTTGCCGTCGGGCGCCACGACGAATATGAAACCGTCCAGAGTCTGAAACGAGAAACCGTCGATCAGGACCAATCCAGGCCGATGCTGCAAAAGATCATTCTCTCTTTCGTTGCTCGAATCATATTTTGAAATTTCCATTGTCTCGTCACTTTTCAAATTAATTACAACTGTTGAACACCATTGACGATCGAAAACTGAGATTTAGATTGACTTGATACATGTTAACAGATTTGCATGACACGATGAAATTTCTATACTCGATACATGTTAACAGATTTACACGACACGATTCGAAGAACGATGAGCACTTACTTGCAAAATATGAGTGCCTAGTTCCTTGATAGCGGATTCTAGCGGGTTGATGGGCGGCGGGGCGGCACCCCATTCGTCTCCAAGACCTGAAAAATGATTTTACAACCGTGAATCTTCTGCTCAATTTTCTGAACCGTAAGGAACGAAACTGATTGTAATATTTTATCAGTACAAATTGTAAATATTTCGCGTAATGTTGTTTCCGCTGTTAGGTCTCGTCAGTAAACAATTTTTTGTTTATTTTTATTTCGTCGGCAGAAATTTCGTATTTCTTGTCAATTTTTGGAGCTATAAATTAAAAATATTCCAAGGGGCACAAGTCCACAACAGAGAATTACGAATCTTGTTCGAGACTATGCGATTTTTCACTGATTCCTCAGACTACAAAATTTTTTCTATACCTTTCCCTATATTTTTCCCTTATTATAGAAGTATGCACCAATAATCTTCTTCAAGAACTTTTAGATGCTCCCTTCTTTCTATATCTTTTACACTATAAACATCGTTTGCGTCCACGCTGCGTGTTTGAAGTGATCAATGGCGGAAAGAAAGACGTCTCGTCTGAGGGCATGGCACACATTGCGATACACTTCGCCTCCTTACCCCGACGATCCAATATACATGTTTCTAGCGACATTTCATACTCAACGTGTAACTAAGCCTATAGCCAAGTATTCCGTGTCCGCGCATTAATTACAATACAGCCAAAGCGCGTGCAACGCGGGCGCAGCTGCAGGGGCGTTTTCTGCAGTCTCGTGGAATTTCGCGGAAAATGGCTTGATCGTTGGCATCTCGTCAGCGACGTGCCGTTCGCTAAATTTTATCAGATATCGCGCTTATCGGCTCGTTCGTGCCACGTTAATAATAGATTTGATACGATAGTTGTCGCGCGATAATTCCCACGCGAGTAGACCATTAAGAGAATCATTTATCCATAGAGTCGAGTCGCGTGATAGTAATCACTAATTTGACCATGACATAAATTTTTCTACAATTTTTTTCATGCAAGATTATCGCTCATAGATAGCAAATAGTGGAGGAGGAAGTGTAGGGGGTAGAGAGTATCGGTGAGAGTTTGCTATTTTTTTTAATTACTACAATTGTTTGAATTTTTTAATTTTGTGTGCTTGATCTAAAGACATCGCTCAATGGACTATGAGAGTATTATAAACACGACGAATGATTTGTAAGTCTTAAGGTGATTCTCAAACATTTTTGTACTATTTTTGTTTAACCCCTTCAGACCTGAATTATTTTTTTCTCGTACGAATGTCATTTAATTTTTAGGGTTAATTTGGGCTAACATTAGTATAGGAAAAGTAAAAAAATAATGGTAATGGTGTAGTTTTCAAGAAAAACTGGTCCTTCTTTATGTGCACAAATAAGGACATTCTCTCTAAACGATAATGTCGGTAATTTTTTAATTTTGGGTCCTCAATTGTGGACGCCAGGCCTGAGAAGGTTAAATTTTGGTTCGTCGTCAAATCAATATTTATTTCAAATGCTGTTTTGGAATAATTTCACGTTTAATCGTTCCTGCGTTAATTTTCCCCGCGAGCGAAAAAGACACCCTCAAAGTGTCGCAAGGGGAGGGCGTCGCCTCTTTTTCGTTGGGCTCCTTTTTTTCCAACGAATAAAGACGCGGCCGTATTCTAGAGGGATGCAGCCACTTGAAATTCAATTCACCGATGTCGTAAGAAGGGAGGCGAGACGGGAGGAGCCATTGTAACACTATAACAGCCCCCATGCTTTGCTTACAAAGCACCAGGGACTAACAATGCATTAAGTGCGCAATCACATCCATCTCATCCGATACTATTTGCCCTTTGCGCGTAAGTGTCCGGTGCCTGAATTAACAAAGAATAGCGTTTCATCCGTTTACCGCTAAGTGAACCTTATTGCTGGCACGTGGTTTCCGTCACACGTAGACGTTTGCGTGGCAAACTAATCGATTTGTTTCGTATTGTCGAGCGGTTACCACGGCCCCTCGATGGCAGACAAATTTTCTGCACCGTCGTCTCCCCAAAATGATATCACAAAGTCGATTTAACTTCGATGAAACCCTCGAAAATGTCTATTAAGTGTCGAAGGTGAATTAAGATGGCTGGCGAAGGACGACAGCAAAGTGGAGCAAAATTATCACTCGAACAATGTATGCTTTGAAGTAGACTCGAGTAATTTGATTCAGAATGGAAACTCAACGAATGCAATTCGTGTAAAGTTTGTTGAGAAAATATTACGAGATATATGCACGATGTTTCATAGTTGTGCATTCGAGAAAGGAAATAATATTCACTGTATTTAACGTTATGGATATGAAAAGGTTAATTTGGCCAGAGGCATCTTAGATAATATTTCATATTTAGTGAGTAAGAATTTAAACAGAAAATGTGTTGTATTCTTGCTGTTTTTTAAAGATAGTTCTTTACTTTTCATTAAATTAGGAAATTTCTGCTGTGAGTGGCTTAAACGTTACTATTCATTTTTCATCTATAAATCGTTACTGCGAATAGAGTTTTCTATTTTGTTTTATGTACTATTAGGTGGAATGGAAAGTAATGTTGTTTCTGCGAACCTCGATACTTATTTATCATTCACTAGCTCATTGATTTTTATCGATAAAAATATGAGCTTATTAAGAATGTATTAAGAATGTATTTGTTTGAATTTAATGTAAAAGAAATTACGTCACTTATCGGCCACCCTAATGTATACATTACCATGAGGAAACAACGCTCGCATCTTCAGGTAGCTCGTGGTCAGTCGAATGATGCTGGCCTTGTCCAGTTGCGTGGTGATGGGCGTCGGAAGTGGCAGCAGCTTCGCCAATTCTAAAAATTCCTGATTCTCTTTCACGCGGCGCGAACGCGCTGCATTCTTGCTTTTCTCCTTCATCACGACTTCCTGCGGCCCAGTAGCACCGAGGATGGAATTATTGTTCAGATGATGATTGTGCGAGCTCAGATCCAAAGTATCCGAAGAAGGGCTGCAGCCTGAAAACAACAGAGATCGGCTTTACCAAACTAATTTCAATTTTAATTTCAATTTTCGTTGACCTCGAAAACTTTAATTTCACGCGGCGAAAGACAACAGGGGGAAGATTAGAAGTTTCGCGGGAAGAAAAGGGACGAAAACACGAGAACTCGCTAATTGCTTCTTCAGCGTCTACCAGTTAGTGGTCGACGAAAGTAGGACACAGTTCTGCCACATTAATATCTATAGCACTGAGACTTTTTTTTCAGCGCGGGGTCTTTTTCTATTAAAACATAGGCCGAAAATTTGCCAGAACTTTGGAAGTTGAAATTGGAAAACAATATTTCATTAAATGAGCTAAATTTTACTGAATGTCTAGATGAAACGTGTACATATACATATAATAACATTTCCTAGTATTTATTTCAATCTTCAAAATACGTAACATTTCAACCCTTAGGATGGGGTTAGTTTCAACTTCTGTAACGAGAAACTGTCTTAGCACAAAGCTAGTAATAGAGTCTACAAATTGATGTCTTATTTCATAGTTTACAAGCCTCCTTGTCGAATCTTTAATATAAATGTATATTTGTTGTACTTGAGTTGCTGTTCAAATCCAACTAACAATTCACACCCTTCATTCGTAGAGTCCAAAAACAAGAACATCTTCACTTTAATTATTTTTCTCGTGTAACGTTGCCAATATTGCAATCGATGGAGTTTCGTGGCTGAGGAATGATACAGCGCGAAAGGCGTAACGACGTCGAAGCTTCTCGTTATAAGAACCGAAAGCAAAGGGAGCAAACCCGTCATTAAAACGCCGGCAAGAGAGCAACCTAACGACGTAGCTACCCATCTACCGAGACTTCTCACGGATGGAAATTCGCTTGAATAATGTATTTTTTTCCTGCCCCGTCGTTTCATCCACCGATTGTGCGACTCGGTTGCAATATCATTCCACGAGGCATGTAAAAATGTCATTCGTCTTTAGAGTAATCAAAAGCTACTCTCATATCGTCTAACACTCATTGTCAGTAAATCTAATTGGAATCCACTGCACACAGTTTTTTTTAGAAAAGAACCCATCACAAGTGAAATGTGTTAGGGCGACCGGAAAGGAATGTCGTTTTTGAGAGTGTCAATACTTGTTTATCATTTATCAACTCGTTGTGAAAATTTGCACGCTAGATAGCAAAAGGTTGTTGGTAACGAATTTTGTTTGAATTTAATCTAAACGAAACGACATTACTTTCTGGTCCCTCTAATATAAGTTTAAATTTACTTTCTCTTCTGGAATATTATGGAGCTATTGATATGTAGAAAAGAAAGGTAAATTTCTATATCAATTTCTTCCATAATTGATTTAGATTCGGTCGTAACGAATCATTTCAGTTCAGTAGTTAAGTTGTTAGTTGTGCGTTGATATTTGAACACAAGCTTCATTTTTGATAAACAGATTTTCATTTAAAAGTTAATGTTATTTAGTTCGATACATAGCTTGATACGACTGCATTTAATGTTATTGAGATTAATACTAAAGTAATTCGATTGTGACATATGGAATCGTAGAATTCTTAGGTTCAATTGGTTTCACTCGTACGATGGCGGGAAGAAAGGAAAGTAAAGAAGATATGGAGAACCGGAGGTGGTTCGCGGTACATTGACGCGGTACCTAGAATCGCCACAGTAAAGCTAATAAGCATAACATAGCTCGGTTACGCCTATTTTCTATATTCCCAGAATGCACGTTTAAAAATCGTTTGTTCTCGCGGAACAAAGAGGATCGTGAAACTTTCTCCCGCTTCGCAATTGCGGAACGAACATGTCCGAGGAAATGCGAGTCTGGAGGCTTGAAGTGCATTCTGCAATTGATCGTCTGGGAAAAATAATTCCGACTTGGAAATGTTCAAAACCTTCATTTGAGATTAAATTACAAGTATTGTTTCTGGATGCAATATGAAAGAAAAGCTTAAAATATATTTTTTCTGGAATATTTATAAGTCACTCGTAACAGTACAAGATAGAGAGAGATTCAATGACGTGTATTTAAGACATATTAAAATGAATTGCGAGCTCTTGGGTAGCCATATTTACGGTAATTACCGTTCATGAATGTCTAACTATTGTCTTTGGTCGTCCAGAATGTGATTCATCAAAGAAATAAAAATTTTCTGATGGCCACGTTTGAAATCACATTTAACACATTGAAGTTTCAATTACACCTACCGCATACACTTTACAAATGTCCTATATTATTCTCGTAACTGTAATGTTTTTTTGTGGCTCATAAAAGAATCATGTCATATGTCCACTTTAAGGATGAACTTGGATGAAATTGTAGGCCATAACAAAAGAATCAAATGAAACACGAGAAAAAATAAAAGAATTCGTAGCAAACGTACACCATAATAATGACATCCCGTAGTTCGTCCAAAAATTTGCCATTAAACTCGGTACATCGATGATTCATGGTTCCAACGAAATTATTTCATTCCTCCCTCTTGGAAGAGACTATACTGGCAAACACATTCTCAATAACAGCACGTAACGCACACATAAATACCAGCTATAAAAGATGTCAAATCGTCGATTAACCATTAAAAACAGCAGTACCTTTCTGTGCTTGTTTGCGTCTCCAGCTACCGACATAAGGATCGCTTCCTAACACGATACCACGTCCATGATTCTCGACCATGGGCGCCATCTTCTATCTCGCCGTTGCACGAACTCCGTCGAACGTCTGCACGATTGCTACCACAGAGGCCCTGCTGGTGACATTCGGACACTTGGAAGGCACAGAACGTTCCTCGAGTCACAACATGTCCCCGACCACGTGTTACGTCGAAAGTTTCCAAGTTTCTTTCCACGTCAACGGAGTCGATCCAAGACACTAGTATCCGGTACCATGCAACTTCTTCAACACTCCCTCCTTTGTACTTTTCGAGATCAACGCGACGACCAGGTGAAACTTCCGCGCGATATAAAAACGATTGCAATCTCGAAATTTCGATTCCTGTCACGACCTTGAACCTAGAACGCGAACCTTGACGGGGAAGCACGTACGACTGGTGTCTGACGGACTTAAATTACGACTAGTGCACGGAGTTCTTCTCTTCGGGGGAGACCTCGTGTCGGGGCTAGGTCCTTTCCTCTCCGTCCTCGTGTCTCTCCTCCTACCGCTGTCCCTTCGCTTCCATCTCATCCCCAATGCTGTTTCACGATGGGGTAGGTAAGCCGTGCGGTACCACCCTTATTTTAAGCTCCACCCTTGGAGCAGGGTCAGTCGAAAGACCCCTCAGCACACGCACGTGCAAACCCCTGGCTGTCTGGGTTCCCCGTTTCCCGATGGAGCGACAGGGACGAATGGGAACGCGAGGCCGGAGCGAGAATGACAGCGTCAGGGGGATAGAAGAAGAAGTCAAAGGACGAAGAAGACGGAGAACGACGTCGTAGACGGCTAAGGTCGCTCGGGGAAAGCCCCGAGTGAATCGAATAGAGACGACCGTGCACGCCGCGCCGTGTCGGCGGGTGGCAAAATCGAAAGCAAAGGCGATTGCTGGTGGCCGTACTGTTCCGTTGACGAGACGCCATAGGATATTATAGCCCTCCCTCGGTTTCCGTTCGCAGCTGGTGAGCCCGTGCGGCCGATGCCACCGCTCTATCGCGTCCTGGGAATTTTAGGACTCCTCGGAACTCGAGCTCTCGAAACTTTCGCGCTCATCGGGGACGTCGGATGGAATGGCCGGCTGGTAATTGCCGAAAGGGTTGCTCTCATTACGTAACGCGATTTATGACTGGCTGGAATGTGATTGCTCTTTGGGGGACTTTTAAGGAGACTCGTTAATACGGGGGTGGTCTAGAAGTTTGAGAGGAAGAGGAGAAGATTTAAGACAAGTTTTAGTCTTCTTAGTCTTCTTTAGTCTAATTTTCTTGGAGTTTTACGTCTCTATATCAGTGGTAAAAATAAATTATTTTCTCCTGGATACTGAACGTAATGCCAAACTTATTTAAGATGATGGAAGCCGTCTATTTTTATATTGCTTTCAAAAGAACAAGAATTCTATTTAATAAAAACGATTTTCCCTATGATTTTACGTGTTGGTCAAATGCAGACAGTTTCTCACGTTTCCGGCAGCAAATTGTCACGTGTGACGTCACGTTTGCTGCGAACGAAAACCTCGGAGGTGCCATCGAGAATGACAGGTTGTAACCTGCCGTTTACGACTGGGGTTGTATAACCACCTTACCGAGTACCTTTTTGCCAAAAGCAAAGTGCATCCCGAAATGGGAAACATGTGTTGCCAATATGTTCCGGAAGGAACCTGCCGTCCTCCGAGATTCTTCCCCGTGGACAATGTCTACGACCTCTGCCAGAAACACGTGTTCCCTAGGCCACCGCGTTACCTTCGTTCCGCCCGTAGCATTCTTCGTTAAACACTTTCTATGCGCCCTGGCTCGGGTCGACAGGTAGGAAAGATCTAATACGAAACATGTGTTTCGTCTTTCCTGTGCCGTCCTCGCACCTTTTCGAGGCTAAGACGCGACATAACGGTCCGGGACCGTCAGAGGTTTATTTGCGAGCCCACGTGCGACCGTGGTTGCACCTTCGCTTGGTCAGGTTTATCCAGATGTTTGAGGAAAGCGAAAACAAGTCACTCGGGATCAGCGAATTGCGAATACTTTTTCCAGGTCTTCGGCGACCTTCGTGGGGGTCGTTTACGGTCGGTTTTAATGACAGAATGTTTCTACGTTGAGGAATAATTATAGAAGAACGTTCTATGGATATTGCTTATTTGTAAGATTCTTCGTGTTTGTTTTGTCACATTCCTTTGAGAAGCTAGAGTAGATGTAATTAAAGCTTCCATTCGCAGTACATTATCCCTATAGTGCACAGTGTGATTAGATTCTCCTCAGGCAACTTTATCAAATGCAATAGCTCTACAGATACATCCATTAACTGTTTAGTTGAAATACTAACTTCTTCATGGACGTACGAACAAACATTTCTTTTCTAAATGAC